ATATCAAAACACCATGATCGAATCATGATCATTCAAGCCATGAACAAATCATCTTTGAAACCCAAAACTTTCATGATCAAATTATCATTAGTCATCATTCAAATTATATCTAAATTGCAATTGAATCCTTATCAAACTATCGCTAAATTATATTCAAATTATATTTAAATTATTATTGAACAACGATGGAATCATTTCAAACATTTTTGTTCATGATTCAAAAATAATTTGATCGTGGAACATTTATAGTTTGAAGATGAATGTAAATTGAATGTGGTTCCAACATACTCATACAAGGTAATCTAATGCTTTCCAATATTTTGATTTAATGTTTTAGGTACAATCATTATATTAAATATTAAAAAGCTAAATGAATGATGTTACTAATCTCACATTGATAAGTGATGAGATGCTTGTGTTGCGAAACTTTGTTGCGCCTGAACACACACTTCGCAATTACTAAACTAAAAAAAAAATGTTTGAAAGAAGATTAATCAATAATATCATATGATTGAAATATCAAATAAGCGTTTTACTCTATCTATCAAAAAGATAAGAATATAAGAAAAAAATTACACTCTTTATAGAAAGATAAAACATTTTTTATTCTAAATTAATTTATTAACATTTAGGCATGTATATATTTTTAAACCTATTACAAATTACAAATTAAGATTTATACGCAATTTACATCATAATAGAGCATTTAAAAGTAAAATTTTCTTAAAAATCCTCAAATCGTAGCAAGAGAGATCAACTCACAAGTCGCAACTTACAACTAAGATAAATTATTGCATCAGGTCATCTGATGTAAATTTATATTAGGTGTTAAATAACAGAGGACCACGTGATAATTTGAGTCTACTAACATATACTATTTAGATCAGGTTATCATGAGGTACCCTTGTTAGTCTCAATAATTTTTCCACAGCTCGGCTGCCGTCCCTCTTTCCAAACCCTACATAGGGTATCGTAAAATTTCCCGGCACCGTTTCCTCGTGCAGAATGGCAATCTCAGTTTCTCCGCACATTCAGATCTCTCTCACCATGGCGACATCTCTCCGATCCCCCTTACGTCCCTTCCTAAGTTTTCACTGGAGGTCATCCACTCATATTTTAAGACTACAGTCGTCTTCCTCTCATCCCGCCCTTCATTATTTCCGTGTT